GGGACGGGGACGGGGGACAGGGGATCAAACTCAGGACCTTGCACTTTCGAGGCTGGTGGCAGCACCACTGAGCTAAATCCCCGGCACCTGAGAGTCTCTTTTTAAAAATCTGTAATTTGATAAACCATTCCTGAAATACAACATGATGTGAAAGACATACTACCATGTATGACAATTTTACCTAGTGATCAACATGAGGCTTATCCAAGTAAAATTTGGATTTACTTAAGGGAAAATGACATTCAACACCAAATATAAACAAAATAACATCTAAGAGAAAATGTAATCCAAGAATTTCTACATCCACCAAAACTGTGCTTCAAATTAAAAGGCTCACCAGGCATGGGGGCACACACCACAATCCAGCATTTAGCAGGCTGAGGCAGGAGGATCAACATGAGTTCAAGGGCAACCTAGACTACATAGTAAGCTATGTAGTGAGACCCTATCTCAAAACACTTAAAAAAAATAAAGAAAAAAGGCTAAACATGCATAAACTAAAAGCATTTTTTTTCTAAAGATTCTGCTACAGCATGAGCTTGAGCCAACCAACTAACTAAAGAAACTTTAGAAAGGATGGATGAGGCAGGAAGGTTTAAAGTAGGAGGCTGACTGGTTCATATGTTATAACTAAAATATCGTTTAGAGTTAATAAACCAAAAAGAAACAGCATATCTAAGAGCACAATGATAAATAAGAAAGATACCTTGTTTTCTTTTTTTTTTTTTTTTGGTACCGGGGATCGAACTCGGGACCTTGCACTTGCGCGGCAGGTGCTGGAACCACTGAGCTAAATCCCTGGCCCAATACCTTGTTTTGTTTTGTAGTGCTGGGGATTGACCCCAGGACCTTCCAACTGAGCAGCATCGCTAACCCTGACCCTCTTTGTCTTCAAATCCATGAACGTGAGATATGTTTCCATGTACTTAGGTCTTTTTAAATCTCTCATAGAATTTTTTTTTGAGATGGGGTCTTATTATGTAGTTGAGGCTGCCCTTGAACTAACTCATATAATCCAGGCTGGCCTCAAATTCGCAGCAATCCTCCTGCCTCAGCCTCCCAAGTGCTGGGATTACAGGCATGCACCACCATGCCTGGCTGTTTTACTCATTTTAAAACACATTTCTTTTTCAGATTATAATAATTCTGAAGTCAGAACATCTCTTTAGCTAATGATGTACTACAGTTTGATAGAATTTTTCCCTACATGGTACATTTAAAAATGGTGTGTTTGGCCGGGGATTTAGCTCAGTGGTTCCGCCGCCTGCCTTGCAAGCACAAGGTCCTGAGTTTGATCCCCAGTACCCCACTACCACCACCACCACCACCAAATGGTGTGCTTTGGGCCAGGGATTTAGCTCATGCCACTGCCTGCTTTGCAAGCGAAAGGTCCTGAGTTCAATGCCTGGTACCAAAACAAACAAAAAAACCCCAAAATGGTATACTTTCCAATAGATACTATCTCTCAGATACAAATAAATATGAAGTACGATAGGGCTGGGGATGTGGCTTAGTGGCACCATGCCTGCCTGGCAAGCACAAGGTGTCCTGAGTTCAATCCCTGATACTAGAAAAAAAAAGTATGATAATATTATTACGATAATTTAGTAGTAGAGAATAGGAAAATGCGAAGGAAGAATTAGAAGCTATTGCTTGTTGATCATAGGAGGAAACCAAAGCAAGAAGGAGAAGACCAAGGGTATAGAAGATGAATAAAGCTGGGCATGGTAGCACACGCCTCTGATCCTAGCACTCAGGGAGGATGAGGATCTCAAGTTGTAGGCCAGCCTGGGCAACTTGTGAGTGAAACCCTGTCTCAAATTAAAAAAAAAAAAAATTTGGCCAGGGATTTAGCTCAGTGATTTCGTGGCCTGCTGTGCAAACGCAGGGACCTGAGCTCAATCCCTGGTACCAAAAAAAAAAAAAAATTTAAAGGCTGAGGATGTAGCTCAGTACAAAGGCCCTGGATGTAATCCCCAGCATAAACACATACAAACAAAAATATATATATATTCCTAAACAGTAGAAGTAGCAGAGAACAGAAAACAAAATACATGGTAAAAGACTTAAAAATATAACAAGAGATACAATACATGTAAATAAACTTAATTTACTCTAAAAAAAATATTTCCCAGGTTGAATCACAAAGCAAATCCAGTTCTGTGCTATATTTTAAAATACATCCTTAAGGGGATTCAGAAATGTTAAATACAAAAGGATGTTAGGGGCTGTAACTTAAGTTGAAGTGGAAACTGAGACAAAAATCTGAATTATATGAAGGGAACTTTATTATACAAGGTAAGGTGGATTTTATTTAGTTTTTGTTTTATTGAGACAGGGTCTCCCTATTCCAGGCTGGCCTTGAACTCACACCATCCTGCCCCAGCCTCCTGAGTGCTGGGATTACAGGTATGAGCCATCATGCCCTCAAAGGCATGATTTTAACAGTTATAAACATTTATGCACAAATAATGAGGAAAACACAAAAGAAAACAGATGAAGAAAAATAAGAGGATAAAGTAAACCAAAACAACATAATGGATAAAGTGATATTACGGCTATATATTACATTTTGTACTCTCAGAAGATAAACTTCATTTACAAAACTTACTAATGTAAGTTGATCTATTAGGCCATAAAACCTCAATAAATTCTAAGAAACAAAAATAAATTTAAACATAATAAAAATATAAAGTAATAATAAAATTTAAAAATGAGAAAATTATGGCTGGATGTGGTGGTATATTTCGGCAATCTTAGCATTCTAGAAGTAGAGTCAAGAGGATCACAAATTCAAGCCCAGACTGGACAACTCAGTGAGACCTTGTCTCTAAATAAATAAAGGGGGATGCTTTGATCACAAAACTTAAAACCCTATTAAATAATCTTTTTTTTTTTTGGTACCGGGGATCGAACTCAGGTCCTTGCGCTTGCACTTGTGCAGCAGGTGGCAAAACCACTGAGCTAAATCCCCGGCCCCACCTATTAAATAATCTTTGAATGAAAGAGGATATACAAAACGAAATCACAGGATTCCTGGAGAACAAAATAACAATAACATTATAAAACATTATCTATGACATAAAGTCAAAGAATACTAAGACAGAAATTGAGAAGTTGTCTTAAATTTGTCAATAAAAAGAAAAATAATAAGTTTATATTATGGTAAATAGAAAGAGAACAGAAAAGAAATGAATAAAGATAAAAGTAGAATGAGATAAAAAATAAAGAAATAAATGAGTTATAAAAGATATATAAAATAAAAAGGCTGGTTCTCTGGAAAGATCACTAGAACTAGTGGAATAAAGGATAAAAGCATAAACATACAACATAAATTACAATGGGAAAAATAATCAAAAGGATTAAAAGATATCACTAAGACTTGTATAACTCTACAAATAACATTTTAAAAACCAAATGAAATGGATACTGTTTTATGAAAATAAAATTTGTCAAAACTGAGCCAAATGGGATTAAAAAGTCTAAACTCACTCTGTAGAAAAATTTTGTCATCAAAGAGCCATCTCCAAAATCTGAGTTTCACAAGGGAATTCTACAAGATTTATAAGGAACAAATACTTTCAAGCTTTGTAAGCTGCATATTTGTCCCCTAAACAGGAGATTCAAAGAGCTGAAAAAATGGAAAGAAAAGCTTGAGAGAAAGTATTATTCTACAGAAATGCAAGATGACTACCAGCCTGTCACTCAACAAGAATTTTGCAGGTAAGCGTTTATTGTAACCAGCATACTGAAACACCGTGAAACAGGGATTGAGGATACCTGTTATACATTATTTATTGAACCTAGACCCTTACTATGTTGAGATGTCATTTCTTTTTTTGTTCCACTTTCTATCTAAAATTAAACCACATTGCTCCATTTGCTTAAAAAGACTAAATGTTTTTAACCCTATACTTCTAAATGATAGAAACTTTCATTTGTATTTGATATGTATAGCAGATACTGTTCTCCACATAGTTTTAGAATGTTAGAGCTACAACCAGCCATATAAAAACACATTTTAGGAGCTTACCATACTATCTTCCCTTAAAAGCACTAATAATCTTGTCTTTATATACTAAACTAAAGATTCATTCTTTAACAACTTCTAAATTATCTTCTAGACTCTTTTTATATGCTGTGGAACTGGAGAAGGAATTACATCAGTTTAAAACTAAACCGAGTGATGAAGTTTTCAGCTCTACAATATTAAGACAAGTGGAGGTAAGGATCATGTCCGACAAAGATTTATTCATGTTATTACCTAGACCTTTCCTTATTTTAGCCTCACTTGAAAAGCATTAAACCAGCCAGGCTGGTGGCTTAATGTCTGTAATCCCAGCACTTGAGAGGCTAAGGCAGGAGGACTGCCGTGAGTTCAAGGCCAGCGTGAACTACATATCAAGACCCTGTCTCCAAAAGAGGGGGGAAGGTGGGGATGTAGCGCAGTGCAAAGGCCCTGGATTGAATTCCCAGTACTGCAAAAGAAAGAATAACAAAACATTAAACCACCTATCATCAAAGTATTGTCAGGGTCCATATCAGATGATTTCCAAGAGTAAAGTACCACTGAATGGAACCCACACTCTATGAATGTAGGGAAGGTACCTCAGTGGTAGAGCACTTGCCAAGCATGCACAAAGCTCTAGGTTCAATCCCCAGCACCAAACAAAAAACAAAAGTCCCCAAGCTCCCCTACAGAAATCCCCCAATTCACACATGTTACAATATGCCCTGCTGTATACACACACTAGTACACACATAGTACTTTTGAGGTCTACTACTAGATTCTAGGAATGTGAGGGTATAAAATAATGCTTATATTCCAAAGAACAGATCTCTTAATAGTTCAATAATTATGTGGAAAAGCTTTCTCAGAGTATATAAAATGTTGTTTTCAAATACCATGAATAAAGGCTTAGTATAAACATTATATGGGGCCGGGGATTTAGCTCAGTGGTTCCAGCGCCTGCCTCATAAGCGCAAGGTCCAGAGTTCAATCCCGGTACCAAAAAAAAACCAAAAAAACATTATATATAACCCAAGTAAAAGAATCTCCCTCCATTCTTCAGAATTTGAAGTCTCCTGGAAAAAACCAAAGTGTAAAAGACAGGAAGAAGTACATATAGAAGTTTCACTAATATTTTCAAACTGGAAATTCATCTACTTTCTCAAATAGCACATTTAGTTTCCCAAAATAAAGAGCAGAGCAGACATAACCAGGCTCATAAGAAGTTGCATTTGGAAACTGTCAATGAGGGTGATGCAAGAGCCCTGTCTAGATGGTGGGAAAGCTGTTTCATGACTGGTATTTGGAAACTTAATTTTTCTAGGCTACATAAGCCCCCTTAAAATACCTATGTGTTCTTTTAGCTCAAGCAGTATCATTTGACTGGAGCACTCAGCTTACACGAGTGACCTGGATTTTAAAATTTGATTAAGTGAATTCTTACATTTTGTTCTTGAAACAGGGTTGCCCGTGTTGCCCAGGATAGGCTGGCCTCCAGTTCCTGGCCTCAAGGAATCCACCTGCCTCAGTCTCTAGAGTAGCAGTATGCAGCAAATAAAAGAATTTTTAAATTACTACAGTCTTCATCAGGCCAGGCTATTCTCTCAGAAACTATGGATCAAGTTTTCTTAATAGGATAATTCATTACAACAATAAATGCTGACTCTTCTCTCTGCAGCTTATCTCTAATATTTACAAGATAAGCAATCAGTGGCTTCTCCCTGCCTTACTGTCCCAGCCAAGTCACTCAGTAACACTGGTGTACCTGAGTGGGGTAATTTCTGCAAGCCTAAAATTAAGAAAAGGAAACATGTAAGATCTCAACTTTTTTAACACCTACTGGAAAAACATACATTTACATGACTTAGAACACTTAAGTTCTTTTATTACAAAGGACTATATACAATGAAGTGCCAGACACAGCAATGCAATTATATTAGTGGACATATATATCTATATAATATTGGTATATAGATATACAGTTTTTATTTGTACCAAAGTAAAACTACCATAATCTCCCTAATTCTACCACCTACTCAACTATAACATAATACTGTCACATAGCATAAGTGCTGGCATGCCCCATTTACCTACTCTACTACAGCTAAACATTAACATTGAATAACCAACATCACAAAGTAGCTGTTAATTCTAAAATGAAACCAATGACTTATAAAAATATGGTACTCAAATAGATTTAGCACTATAAAGAAGGAATATATTATTTAAAACACTTAAATAGTGCATATGGACACTTTTGCATGTGGTATATAAAACATTCATAAAAAACAATAACAGTGCACATAAAATTAGATGTTAAACTCCTATTTGGAGACCGAAAGAAATTAAATGTACACCACATGACAGAGTCAAATCAAAGTGATACATCTTTTGGCATTTTCAATTTTACTTTTTTAGGAATACCCTATGAATAACCTAGTTGTATCAAAACGAAACACACAAAAAAGGCTGGATTTAGTGCTTTTTAAATTTTCCCATTACACATTCACTACCATTGGATTGCCTCCCCCCCTAAAAAAAGGCACTGCATACACCAGTGAAATGTGAAGTACTAGAAACACTTATTTATTATCAAGCTACTTCATGTGCTTACTTATGTAATAGTGCCAGAAGTTTGAGGTTCATGCTTCCCTCACCTTACTAAATAATGTTGCAAAATTCCATTTTTGTATGAAACAAACTTTTAATATTAGCTAGTTAAGAAAACCATGCATGAGTCGCTGCATGCAAAACATGGGCACAAAGTGAGGCACTCATCAACCCAAAAGCACCAGGGAAAAAAAAAATTAACACTTAGATTAAGCCTATTGTATTGTTAACACAAATGAAGTCACCATTTCATAAAAGTGATTAGCTGAATGATACCAAGAGTACCTGAAGAAAAGCCATGCAAAGCCAAGGAAAAAAAGATGCTAAGAGTGTATGACAAGGGGCATACCACTACACATACTGTAAATGGCTGCTTTAACAGAATGTGATTAAGCAAAAGGTGGTCTCTTTTAGAGGGTTTCATTGTACAGATTTTACTGATTTAAAGAGGAAAAGAAAAAAAAAAGATGTAGCCCCCTGAAGTTCATGTAAAAATGCAGTGGTATAGCCCTTGTTACAAGATTTACTTAGGTATAATGATTACCTTGCCAATTTAGGCCCATTTGATTAAACATAATAATCTGAGCACCATCAAGTTCCTACATACTGGCATGGCTGTTTTCTCACATTATCTGGAGGTGGGTAGGGGGAACAGCCCAGAACCCATTCCAGACAAATGTATCATCAGCTGATAAATTGTAACTAAGGAACAAACAGTAACTTAAGTCCCATAGGCAGCATGTGGTATGATTCAGTTCTGTGTGTGTTGTGTGATATATGTTTTCAATAGGCTAAACAAGGTCACTTTTTGGTGTACCTACTGTTATCTTCATCCAAGCTATGTGACCACTGAATTGCAAAATTTTGTTAATATTTTACCTGTGAGGAGGTGTCACTTTGAGAATTAAACAGAAAAGTGTTTCACAGGAGGACTTGTAATCTCAGTTTGATTTTGGTTTTCTAAGAAAACAGAACACGGTTGCATATGTGCACTTCTATAGGTTTTTCTTTCAAATTTTCAGTCATTCTGTAAGAAAAAGGCAACTGAAGAGTTGAATATGAAGCTTTCCTTTCAATTTTCTTCAGTAATGGAAAAAAAAAGGTAATTAACAAAAAGCTTTGTATTTCCAAAGTTCTTGAAGTTGAAAGGATAAAATTCTAGTCTTTTGGTAATAGGATGTGTTGGTAGTACAAAACAATGAAGGAGAATGCATGTTTGCTAAAGGCAAAGAGGACAGTCTGTGGTCAACATGGAACATCGCTTACGCTCCCCGAGAGGGCCAACTTACCCTCCCCTCACACTTCCTTAGTGGCACCACAACCAAGTACAAAATGAGAATCTCTGAATGCCTGACAAAATGAACTCAAGGACCAGTCAAGTACACATGATGATAACGTCACGGAATACAACTGATTTTATGATGTGAATTTTCAAGGAGCATATTTTATATGGATTTCGAAGAATCTTGTTTGCTGATAAGAACTTCAAGAAGCCTAAGCTTAGCTTTAATTTTCTTGTACTCTCTGTATTCCTCAAGCACTGGAACACGATCCTCTTTCTGGGCATTCCTAAGGGAGAAAATAAAATCTGTAATACTCTCTAGAGACTACCTGGAAAACAGCCTCAGAAACTGTTCTAATATGAGATACAGTGTTACTAATTATAAATTCAAATAAAAAATTGTCAGAATAATTTTCTTATCCCCAAAGAATATTTCTACTAATAAGATTAATGCTAGGGCCGGGGATTTAGCTCAGTGGTTCTGCCACCTGCCTCGAACGCTGAAGGTCCTCAGTTCAATCCCCGGTACCAAAAAAAAAAAAGATTAATGTTATACTTCCTTTATTAGTGATCAGAGTGGACAATCAGAAGCAATTATTTGTTTTTGGGGGGTTTTTTTGGTACCAGGGATCGAACTCGGGACCTTGCACTTGCACGGCAGGCACCAGAACCACTGAGCTAAATCCCCAGCCCAAAAGCAATTATTTTAATAAAACATTACTGCTAAACTCTGCTAAGTCTGTTATCTCTTAAGTGCCAGAAAGCCACACTGAATCACTACAATTAGTTAACTGTGGCTCCAGTGAATTAAGATAAGAGAGTAAACCATCTTTTCTGCAACACAAGAGTAGTTTACTTTTATTAAATGACCGATGCTACTCAGTTTAATCACTAGCCAAAGCAATAAATCTTTCTGAGCATAATTATAAATGAAATTTTCTTCCAGTAATATAAAGAATGCTGGGTATGGTGGAGCACATCTGTA